TACTGAATTTTTTGCTGTTGTGTGGATTCCATATTTACATTTCTTTATTTGTATGTGTATATGTTTGGAGAAGGGTGAACATGAGAAATAGGAAATGTTTAGAGAGAATCAAAAAGAGTAATATATGTGACATAAAAATGGAAAGGGTAGTAGTACTAGATCAAGTCTGGAATGTGAGTGGAATGATAGAAGCATTCACTAAGGATTTTAAGAAAGAAAAGTATTTTTATCTTCCTTTCTTTTCCCATTTTTTCTGGCTGAATGCAGGCCATGATGAGGTCTTCTTGTGAAGAAGCAGAAGGTTATGCTTAGGTAATAAGAAATACCAAAAAAAATCCCCACAAAACCCAAAACAGTAGTATGGACTTCTCACACTTTATTTTTTGAGAAGTAGTTTGGCATTTCATTTATTTATATTACTTTCTTTAATTGTGTACATTCAGAATTTCTTATCCATGCAAAGCTAGTTAACTCAGTTCCTATAATTATAAACTTTTCAAGGAGTATTTCCCATGTTCAGACTGTCAGTGTGTTTCTTGCCATGATTCTTGCAGCTGCTGCTGCCATTCTTAGCTTTATTGCCAGGCACTTAAGTGCCTCCATCTGTTCTCTTGCATTTTTTCAAACAACACCCTATACTGAGTCTAGATGGTGTCACAACTAAGTAATAGTCAAAATGTTAAGCCGTGTTAGAGAATAGGATGTTTTCCTTTGTTTAGGACACACTTTATCCTTATGTCAGTAACACAATAATGCACTTTACAGCATATTTGGAAATAATTGTTTCTGAGATCACTTATAAACATGCCTTTGTTATGATAAATGTATATAGTTGCGGACTTGTGCTGGAAATAGGACAAAGAAGATTCCTAATCCCAGGGTTTCCATTAGAACAGCTGTACTTCCCAAAGATAAAGCATTATTCATGGCTAATGACATCATTCCTAGCTCTGTTTTCCCAATTCATACCACTTTCCTTCTTATTTTCCTTCTCTGTCTTTCTGTTACTATTAGAAAGAAAATCATAATATGTTGCCCTGGCTGATCTGGCATTTAGTACATAGGTCAGTCTGGCCTTGAACATTGAACTTGTGGTGATCCTACTGCCTCTGCCCTCTACCCCAAGTGCTGGGATTTTAAGTATGTATAGAGCCTGATTTGATATAACCTGAGAATATTCTGAGATGTGGCCTCTTCCAATTCTGTAAATGTTCCATCTGTAGTACAAATAGACAAGATACTTCCCAGAGCATCTTTTTCCTCCACCAGAAGTTCATATTCTTTGAGCCTATTTAATCCACCTTCATTTACTTTGTCTTGACTGGAGAGATTCAATTTTCTGTGTACAGCATATTAGCTTTTCATCACTATAAGAAATTACATATGGTAATCAACTTGCAAAGTGAAAAGGTTTTTTTCTTGGCTCACAGACCATGATCAAGTAACTCTAGCAAGATAGCACATCATGGCACACACACTACAAAACAAAACTTCTCACCTCAGTGGCCACCTATGAAGGTAAACAAAAAGGGATACACAGACTTTTGGGGGATAGCCATAATTCTACCTGTAGTATGAAACTTCTGAAATTCAGGTAAAGAAAAATACATTGTAAAAGCTCACAGAATTTGGCTAAACCTAATCTAGAAGAGAGTTTAAGGAAGATTTAATTGAGGGACATGGAGGTCAGTCAGGAAGCAAGTTAACATAAATCTACAAAAGCAGGTCCTTGAGAGGTACAAGAGGAGATGTTGTGTGTGGTAATATTTTATGATCTAGCAAATAAAGTTTTCTGAAGATCAGAGTGCAAAACTAGCCACACTAGTTAGCCATAGAGACCAGGCATTGGTGGCACACACTTTTAATCCCAGCACTCAGGAGACAGAGGCAGACGGATATCTATGAGTTCAAGTCACTCTGAGCTATACAAGACTGAATCTGTATAAAAGAGAAACAGAGCTGTCGCACCTGCTGTGCGGCCTGCATCCGAGAATGTAGCGAGGTGGTCGGGATAGATGACACAGAGACCGGTCGGTTGCTTTAAGAAAACTTTATGTTTCCCAAGTCAGCTTAGGAGGAGACCCCAGTCCGCTTAGGAGAGAGCTCTCAGAAGAAATCTCAGGAGAAGTCTCTGGAGAAGTCTCTGGAGAAGTCTCCCTAAGAAAAAGGAGCTTCCCTTTTTAAGGACTTCTGCCATTCATCTACATACCATTCTTTCCTCCTGGCTGGTGGTCTAATCTCCGGCCCCAGAATCGGGGAGACACCCCAGGGAAACAGGAAGAGGCATCTAACCGTAGGAGGTGTGAAAGGCATGGTATTTCAGTGAGCCAGCCCTTATCTGAGCCCTATCAAGCTTTAAAGCACTGAATTGTTTTCAGTAAACATTACACAGATGCCTGCTCCCAGGCCGAAGGGGAAGTGGGTTTCTGCTCAAGGTCTGGTGTCCCCACACAGAGCTCCCACAAAGGGGATCCCAGCACTTGGGATTACATGTCTTTAATCCCAGCAATAGGAAGGTGGAGACAGGAATGATATGGCTGGGTGGAGAGAGGAATATAAGGCAGGAGGAGACAGGAGCTCAGGGCAGACTGAGGATTCATAGAGAGCAGCAAACAGTCTGAGGCAGTCAGTCTGAGGATTCCTAGAGACAGGATGGCCCATTTGGTGTGAGGATTTGGTAGAGGTAAGAGGTCTCTCTTGGGGCATTAGAATTCATGCTACGGTTGTGAGCCATAATGACAGTGGGTGTGCTGCTGTGCAAGCTCATGAGCGGACCTGGGAGATGAAGCGAGATGAGGAAGGCACTAAAAGTGAGCATGGCGGCCTCTTCATCCCAGGGTTAGTGCTCGGGACTTGTTTCAGAAATTTACATTTCAGAGGCCAGTCCGGTCTGCACAGACACCAGAGATACTGGATAGCAGGGCATTAGTCATTCTTTTATGTTGGACTTGAATACATTTTTGAAGGAAGCAAATCATGTCTAGCGGTCATAATATAGGTCAGCATCTTCTGTATAGTGTTGGATCTTAGTTCAAGATGATATCTAATCAATACATCAATACACACTAAGAAACACAGAAAAGGTTTACATAGGGCCTTTTTATCAATAATTGTTAGCCACTCAATGGCTTTGGATTGTAAATGAATTGACAAGAGATTATCCAAAAGATATTTCAATTATTGCTAGAACCACTCCTATCAGTAAGTAAATTGGTGAATTTCCTGTGCAATGATGTGCAGTAAAGACAAGGGGGATGGCTATTATGAATAAGGATGATGTATATATTTTGTTCCTACTATCACAAATACTGTAAATTCAGTGGTTTAAAATTAGACAGGCCTAATATCACAGCCCTGGAAGCAGAAAAGGCCTTACTCTACTAAATCAACCAGTTCCTTTCCATCAGGGATTTCTATGGAAGAATCTCTATCTTTTATAGCTTCTGCAGACAGCCTGCATTCCATAGGTCCTGGCTTCTTTCCATCTCCAAAGTCAACAATGGTTTTGTTTTCCTTTACCAATGCTGCTTGTCTGAGACAGAAACTCTTAGGCCTCCACCTGTTGTATCTAAGTACCCTTGCAGTTACATTGGCTAGAGTGAGTAAGCACAATTTTGTGCTAAAATCTACCATTAGCAACCTTCGTTCCACCCAAAAATTCAGTTCTTCTTGGCCAAATAACATGTTTACATGTCCTGGGTGTGAAACACTGGGTAGGTGCTTAAATGAATTTATATATGTACAAGCCCAACAGCTCCAGCGTGTGCTTGATACCACTGGTGATTTTCTCAGAAAGGTATTGCTACTTAGAATGAAAAACACACATCCACAGGAGTGCGCATGCGGGTGAACACACAGGCAGACACACACACACACACACACACACACACACACACACACAGAGGCACACACACACACACACACACACACACCACCACCACCACCACCACCACCACACAGTGTGACAGAAAGAATTGATTGTTGACCCAAACCTGTGGTTGATTTACCAGGCCAGGTGTAGTTTGGTCTCCCCTTTGGAATAGGGGTAGTGGTGGGGGTGTAATAAAAGGCCCCACTTGAGATCCCTTAGAGACAGATATGCCCTCCTCCTCTTCATGGTTGCATGAACCAGTGAAAAACATGGGAGAACCAACAGGAACCTACTGGCTGGCTGTTGCTAGGTCACCTGTCCCTTCTCAGGCTGCAGTATTAACAGCCCCCCTCCCCTTCCATTGGCGTCATAAGAGGGGGCAGAGGGGAGAGGCAGACAGGAAGTGAAGGGAGGCTCTGGCGCTGTCCAGCCTCGTTCTGAAGTGCAGATGTACCTAGGGGCCCACTCAGTATCCATCCGCTGTTCCCTCCTGCTCCCCAATTCCAGAATCTTCTTCCATATAGTCCCCCCTTCTCCCTGCCGTCCCCACTCCCCAAAGCCCTCATAGACCCTGACTCTCAGCCATCCCACACACTGTAGTGACCCCAGCAAAGCGGTGGTGGTCTGTGGTTAGGGTGAGCAGGGGGTCTGCAGACGCCCACGGGTGCCGCCCTCCCCTCCCTCCGAGTGGAGCGGGCTGTCTCCGGCCCCGCCCACCCCGAGTCGGAACTACGGTGGGCCCGGGAGGGGGCGTCGAGCCCGGTGCGCCATATCCCTCCGCCCCCTTCCCGACACCCTCGAGGCGAGCTGTGCCTGCCGCATCCTGCGCAGCAGCCCCTGCCCGTTTGGTGCAGAGGCGTGGGGGCGGGACGCGTCTCTGCCATCGCACTCGCGCGCAAAGCCCAGGGAGAGGAGCTGCGGAGGACGGAGCCCAGCCAGGAGCGGACGGGGACGCGGGGCAGCCCGGGGACCTGGGCCGTGCGCCTGGCCAGGCAAGTGGGGGTGTGTCGAGGGCTCGGGGCGGCCTCGCACTGCGGACCCTCGCCCGGCCCTGACAGGGAGTGCAGCAGTAGGGGCGACCGGGGCTTCCTGGAGTGGTGCGCGGTTCCGGAGATCCCAGGCGGTGAGGGGCAAGCGGGGTCCCGGGTCGGGTCTAAGGCACAGGGGGCGGCTGGAGCCACTGGGTGTGAGAGTCTGGAGACTGGCAGAGCAGACAGCCTGACAGTTGGCTTCCCGGGCGCTGGTGCCCCGCCCTCCATGGTATCTGGACCCCAAAATGGTTACAGGGTAGGGGAATGTAGGAGAAATGTGGTAGTGTAAGGGGCATCCAGGGAGCCCACGGATCCAGGGGAGGCGGCTGCAGGAGAAATGGCGGTGCTGGAATGGTGGGGGGCAAGAGTCCTCCCGTGTGGTGCAGGGAGGGTGTCCAGCTCTGGGACAGCTCAGCTGGCGGGTGGTGAGTCGCCTGGGCTACTAGGGTTCTGATCTGTTTCCGGAGAGGGACCCTTGTACCCTGCGTCCTGGGTGCTGTCCCTTCCCACAGGCTCCTGCTTGATGGCAAAGTCTCCTGTCTGCGTGGTAGGTCTGGCATATTCTGACAGGCCACAGTGAGCATCTGTAAACCAGAGTCTTGAGGAAAGAGGAACAGGAAAATGGCGTGGATTTCTGGAGGTGTGTGACAGTGGGATTGGGCACCAGACACTGAGTGGAGATGCGAAAAGTGTGGGGGTGACAGATCAGAACAGGTGGGGCATCCATTAGTGTCTCCTAATCTCATTTTTCACAGCCTTGCAGGTACTTTCCCCAATGTCCTTCCACTCCCTCCCTCCCTCCCTCATTCCTTCCCTACGTCCCAAATTTGGGGTCTAAAAAGATGGTTTGGGGATGATGACGGAGTCATAAATCCAAGGACCACTTCAGAACCTGCTTTCTAGAATGTGCTGTGCCCTTCCCCAATTTTTTGCTGCGCAAGGCAAGGAAACATGGCCACCTAGTGGTGAATCATCACAATTGCAGAAGGACTAATGAGTATGACATCAGGGAGGGGGTGTTACTTCAGGAACCCTGCAGCCAGGCAAAATAAATCTAGAACGTTCCAGCAGTAGGACCCTGAATGACGAAAGACACATGATCTGCTTCTTACCCTTGGTGGTGTTCTTCTCCACGAGATCAGCTGCTGCCATCATTTCCCGATTGTCTTGCATTTTCATCTCTTTGTCCACAGGCTTGCTTTAAGGCTGGTCAGTTCTGAGAGAAAGGAAAGAAGGCATCGAGGATACTGTCTCAAGATCTGTGGAGGTTGGTGAGAATCAGGGGCGGCACAGGAGCCAGGTACTGAGGAAGGAAATGCACAGTGCTGTAACCCAAGAGGGGACACGATGTCTTTACTGTCCCCCAAATGTGCCTACAGCTGCTGCCATCATTTCCCAGTTGTCTTACATTTTCATATCTTTGCCCACAGGGTTGCTTTAAGGCTGGTCAGTTCTGAGAGAAAGGAAAGAAGGCATCGAGGATACTGTCTCAAGATCTGTGGAGGTTGGTGAGAGTCAGGGGCGGCACAGGAGCCAGGTACTGAGGAAGGAAATGCACAGTGCTGTAACCCAAGAGGGGACACGATGTCTTTACTGTCCCCCAAATGTGCCTACAGCTGCTGCCATCATTTCCCAGTTGTCTTACATTTTCATATCTTTGTCCACAGGCTTGCTTTAAGGCTGGTCAGTTCTGAGAGAAAGGAAAGAAGGCATCGAGGATACTGTCTCAAGATCTGTGGAGGTTGGTGAGAGTCAGGGGCGGCACAGGAGCCAGGTACTGAGGAAGGAAATGCACAGTGCTGTAACCCAAGAGGGGACACGATGTCTTTACTGTCCCCCAAATGTGCCTACAGCTGCTGCCATCATTTCCCAGTTGTCTTACATTTTCATATCTTTGTCCACAGGCTTGCTTTAAGGCTGGTCAGTTCTGAGAGAAAGGAAAGAAGGCATCGAGGAGACTGTTCCAAGATCTCTGGAGGTTGTCAAAAATCAGGGGCAGCACAGGAGCCAGGTACTGAGGAAGGAAATGCAGAGTGCTGTGACCCAAGAGGGTGCCTGATGTCTCTACTGCTACCTAAATACACTCACTGCCACAAGATCATTTATTCCCTTTCAGAGAAGTAGATATGAGTTAGTCTGTGATCCATAGGACAAGGGCTGGGATTGGGGACAGAAACTTTAGACAGAAGACAGGCATGGTTTTGCTGTTGTTTGGACTCAGGGATGTGTGCCTATGTAGCAGGCACTACAGTCCCTTTTTTTTATGCATTTGTAGGACTCCCCGCCATCAGCTGTTGGTCTTAACATCACTTGAACGCATAAAAAGGAGGGAGTTGCACCACATCGGTGAAGGTTGGTATGGAGGGGTTTTCACTTTTGGATGGGGGTAGTAGAGATCACCCTTCAGGCAAAAGGAACATAGAGGTTTTCTCATAGCTGAGCTGTTCCACTCAGCTTTATCCACCCGTGTCTCTGTGTAGTTGCTATAGGAGGCAACAGAATTGTATGAGACTGATTTCCTCTTTTTTAAATCTTCTTAGATCACCTGCAGTAGCTGCTTGGCAGTGCTGGGGTTGCTGCTGACCAGTGCAGTCAACAGATCTGCGCCCACCTAGGACCTGTCCATCTTCCTCCGGCTTGGCCTCGCCTCTTCTGAACTGCGTCTGTGTTATTGACTGAGCCTGCTTGGGTAGGAGCCTCCTTGAGTGCTGGATTGCCACTCCAGTCTAATTCTTTTAGATCTCATAGCCTAACTTACCAAAGAGTATTGTGAAGATCAACCCTGTAACAGATCTGCAGTGAGAGTTTACTGTTGTTAACTGGTATACATTGGGACTTCATCTAACATATACTATGACTAGGGCAGAGATTGAGCCTGGTGCCCAGGCAAAGGCTGAAAGCAAGCCTGGTGATGAGAATGCCAATACCAATGGTGCTGAGGGAGAGAGCGAAGCCCCATTGGTGGTCAGACCCAAGGTTAGGACACAGATAATGACTGGAGCAAGGCCCAAAGTGAGGCCTAAGAGTACTCCTGCACCCAGACCTAAGATTGAAGCCAGTTTACCAGGTGGGGCATATGCTAAATGCAAACCCAAGTCAATCCCTATTGCACGATCAAAGAACGATGCCCAAGTCTGGGCTCCAAATAGGTTTCGGGCAGAGCCCATGTCAAAGATGGGCAAACAATGTCAGATCAGTCCTCCACTGGTCAATACTGATTCTGGGATGGTTGCTCAAGCGAAGTGCCTGTCTGTAGATAGAGAACATGGTAATATGGACACTGAGAGTTTTCCCAAGAAGACTAATTCTCAAGCAGGATACCAGCCTTCTTTTGGCTCAGAGGAGGGACCCAGTATGGGGTCCTGGTACCGTCCCAGGCCTATCCCCAAAGGAGAGGCTTATGAGAATTCTGATTTCAGATGGGCAGACAAACCCTCAGGAAGTTCCTCCTTCTGGAATAGGGATGAAACTAGTACAAGATTTCGTCCTAGGAAAAACATGAAGCCCAATAATACCAGGTTCAGACACATGGCCAAACAAGAGGCAAATACCATGCCTAGGCACAAAAACAAGCAAGAGCTCTATAATATTTCTAGTTCTGATTCTGAAGAGGAGTCTGCTAAGGCTCCCTGGTTCTGGGCTAAAGAAAAGCCCAAAGTCTGGTCAAGGCCCAGAGAAGAGCCCAATAATAGGTCCTGGTTTAGGCCTAAGAAAGAAGTCCGAGTTGAATCTACTTCTGGGTCTGAATGTGAAAATCATACAAAATCTTCATTCTGGTCTGGAGAAGATGCCAAATCTAGATCCAAACCCAGAGCCAGGAAAGGGGTCAACATGAGGGCCAGGCACCAGGCCAAGCGAGAACCTTGCAGTGATGGCCTCTCTGGATCTGTTGATACAAATAAAAAAGAGTCCTGGTCCTTCCCTGAAGATAAGGCTAGTGCTTTTTCAAAGTCTAAGCCAAAGAAAGAGCCCAAAACCAGAGCAATGCCAAAGGAAGAGGTCAAAACCAAGACCAGAGCAAGTAGCAAACAAGAAGCCAGGGCAGAGGAGGAAGTCTTCATTGGGTCTTGGTTCTGGGATCCCCAGGAGTCCAGGAGGGTAGATAGGGTAAGCACCAAGGCCAGCCTACTTGTAGAGGAGGAGCCCTTTGTTGGAGATTGGTTCTGGAGTGAAGAAGAAGCCAGTGTGGACTCTGAGACCTGTTGTAAAGCCAGACCAAGGGCTAAGGAGGAACAAGTTAGTGCTTACTCGTTAGGGTCTAGAAAGAAGACCAGTATGGAGAATGGGCCTAAGGCTACCTCTAAGTCTGTACCTGCAGCTAATGAGGAGGGAAAGAACATTGTTGGGTCCTGGTTCTGTGCTGATGATGAAGATGTCAACTTACAGGCTGAGGATGAGTCCATTTTTGGATCTTGGTTCTGGGGCATTGGCGAGAACAGTGTGAGATCTGTTGGAGTCAGTTGTGAGAAGATGCCCAGGTCTGGGGAAAAGGAAGTTACTAATTCGTGGTTCTGGGCAGGAAAAGTCAATGCAGAGGCTGAGGCTGAAGAACAGGCCAGGCCAGCATCTACAAAAGGGACAATCTTTGTGCCTTGGTTTTGGTCTCAAAAACAGGCACATGTGGATTTAGGGACTGAACCTTGCTCTGACATCATGGCAGGAGCTGAGGAGGAGCCCATAATTGGGCCCTGGTTCTGGGCTAAAGTAGACAATAGTGCAGACATTGAAGTTAACAGTAAGTCTAGCCTGGAAGATGAGGAAGAGCCCATTATATCTCCTTGGTTTGGGGCCAGAGAACAAGCCAATATGAAGTATGCAGCTGGTGCCAGATACAAGCCTGTGGCAGAAGCTGAGGAGAATAATAAAATGTCTGACTTTTGGGCAAAAGAACCCAGTTTGTGTCCTGCCAATAGAGAAAGCTTGAAGTCTACTCTGAGAGAGCAAGGAAACACTGTTGACTCATGGCTCTGGTCTAATAATTATCCAAGGAGAGAGGCCATTGCAGGGTCCTGGCTATGGCCTGCAGAAGAGGGAAATATAGATGATGAGACAGGGGAAGAGATCAAGCTACCAACTTTAGAAGACAACATACTCAATTCTTGGTTCTGGAAGCAAAATGAAGAAACTATTGTAGAGGCTGCCAACAGAGCGGAATCCAAGCCAGAAGCTGAAGAGGAAGACATCATTGGCTCTTGGTTTTGGGCTGGGGATGAGGACAGATTTCAGCCAGCTACTGAGATTAATGAAGAGAACAAGATAACATCCGAAGAAGAAGATACAGTTGGATCCTGGCTCTGGGGCAAGGAAGAGGCCAGGCTAGAGGCAATGAGAAGGGGCGCTTTTGAGTCCACTCCTGGAATTAAGCGGGAGGAAATTACTGGGTCATGGTTCTGGACTGAAGAAGCCAAAATAGGGGCTGGGTCACAGACAATCGAAACTGGGTCAGAAACTGAAGAGGAGGCAATTTTTCAGTCTTTGATCTGGGCTGCAAGAAACAACAATGTAGGAGCAGGAATAAACCGTGTGTCCAGGCCAGAGAATAAGGTTGAAATGAATGTGATTACCAGTGAGTCCAATCCAGAAAATGAGAAAGGGCCAATTGTTGAGCTTGGGCCAAGTGTAAAAGATGAGGTGATTAACAAGACTGGCAGTGGAGATAACTGTGAATCTAATGCAGAAGCTGAAAACATAGTGGGATCCTGGTTCTGGGACGGAGATGAAACTAGTTTTGAATCAAATCCTACTCCTGTATTCAAGGCCATTTGCAAGCCTAAGTCTTCAGCTGAGCAGGAACCTGACCCTTCCCGCAGACCCCAGAGCTGGGATGAGGTCACTGTTCAGTTTAAGCCGGGCCCATGGGGAAAAGCTGGCTTCCCATCCATAAGCCCCTTCCGGTTTCCAAAAGAAGCAGCATGTCTGTTTGCTGAAATGTTTGGGGGGAAACCTAAGCAAGAAGGAGAGGAGGAATCTTCAAGTCAGTCTGACAATGAGTTCCCATTTCAGTATGATCCCTCTTACCGATCAGTCCAGGAAATTCGAGAGCATCTTAAGGTCAGGGAAAGTGTGCAGCCTGAGAGCTGGTCCTGTAGCTGCATACAGTGTGAGCTTAACATTGGTTCTGAGGAGTTTGAGGAACTTCTCTTACTGATGGACAGGAACCGAGACCCTTTTATTCATGAAATATCTAAAATTGCAATGGGCATGAGAAGCGCTTCTCAGTTTACCCGAGATTTCATTAGAAACTCGGGTGTCGTGTCACTTATCGAAGCCTTACTTAACTATCCATCCTCCCGAGTTAGGACAAGGTTTTTGGAAGAAATGGTTAGCATGGCTCCACCTTATCCAGATCTGAACGTGATTCAGACATACGTGTGTCAGGTTTGTGAGGATACCTTTGATTATGACTTGGATTCCCCTGAGCAGTTGTCTGGATTGTCAATGATTACACACCTCAGTGCTACTTCTGACTACCACAAGGTGGTTGGCAATTATTTGACTGGGTTCTTCTACTTACTGAGTTCAGGCAATACCAAAACAAGGTTTCATGTTCTGAAATTGCTACTGAATTTGGCTGAAAATCTCGTTATGACAAAACGACTGCTTGCTACTGAGTCCATGTCTGAATTTATGACCCTCTTCAGTAAGGAGGACTCAAATGAGAACATCCAAATTGTTCTCGCGATATTTGACAAGATTAGCAAAAATATTCAGAAAGAAGCCTTGTTCGCTGATGATGATGATGATGATGATGAGGTGGTGGTGAATCTTGACCCACTTATTTCTGCATTCCATGAGATTGAAAGCTTTGCTAAAACACTAAAACGCAAGCCTGACAATTAAAAATCACCCTGAAGCAGAACAAAACCGTTTAATATGCTTAACCATTTGCCTGTGATTGTCCTTGTGCTCCTGAGTCTTATGATCCTCAAGTAATGCTTTGGTTTCACAGCTGATTCCGTGTTTCAGTGTACCTCTTTAATGCTGGTGAAAATTTTATCCAACTCTGTGTAAGCTGTATCATTTTTCTGATGCCAAATGAATATACAACTGAAAACACACGTGTTGATGGTACTTGTTTTGTTGATTGTGCTGTTCAATATGTGAGTTTAAAGTGAACTGAGCCATTGTAAATAAGATTCCCTTCTAATCGTTGTGCCCATGTGTATCTATTTGAGTGAGTCTTGTGCTTCAATAAAGTTATATGTTAAAGCAAGCAGAAATTTCCCCTTCATTGTAAAATAGCAGGTGCAAAGATGACACATGAACATGCACACAAACAATGTCTGAGTAATATTCTTGTTACAAAAGTTTTTCTCAGCTTTAAATCTCAAAGGTTGGAAGGGACTGCAACTCGGAGCATACTTACAAGAGGACTCTCTTTAAGGTATACTCTAATTCAACTTATGATAAGGAGAAAATCATGGGGCAGCCATAAGTGCTCCTATATTTATATATCCAACTTCTTGGATTAGGTGGGAGGAGTACAAATTGAAGAAATATATTGAAAATAAGGTAAGTTTTGAAGAGCAAGTTGAACTTTGCTGTTCAAAATACAATCAGTGCAATGCAGAGGGTAAAAGAATAACACCAGTAAGTGCAAAATTTTAATTTAGTCAAGTGCATGATTAAATCATGATGGTTTTGTTATCACTTGGTAAGACATTGGCCTGTGGTGTTAGGGCTGGGGAGATGACACAGTATAAAGTGCTTGCTAGGCAAGCCTAATGTCCTCAGTTAGGACCCCTATCACCCACATAAAAATACAGAAATACTCGTACATGTCTCTAATCCTCGTGCTCAGGAGCAATGACAAGAAGGTCCCAGGGGCCTTCTAGCCAACCAGGCTAGCTAGTCTATGAGTTTGAGGTTTTGTAAGAGACCCTGTCTCAAAAATGAGGTGATTGCAATAGAGGAAGAAATTTGACATAGTCATCTGGTCTCTGCACATGTACACATGTATGTACACCACATACACAACACATGCAGTCAAGTGTTAAACCACTGACCCTTTCAATTATTTGTAAAGAACTGTGCACATGGAAATAATGGGAGAGTCTAGGAGGAGTTGGAGGAGGAAGAAAATATGATTAAATCTGTTGTATGAAAAAAGGTTTTAAATAAAAATTTAAGATAATGTAGGTGGGAAAAATTTAGTCAAAGTATGTTACTTGCTTATGAAAATTCTGCAGTTACATACACAAAACATCAAAGGAATAATGACACAACTTCAGAACTTAGTTGTCAATCAGAGCACAAAATTATCTAAAAATAAAAATTATCTGTAAAACTATCAAAGTTTATTAATATCGATGTTTCTGGAGACAGAGTGTTTGTAGGCTGGGCTAGCTTCAAACTTGGTATGTACCTGGGATTCACTTTGAACTTCTAATGCTAGGGTTAGAGGTTGCTGTACTCAGATTCAGGCAGCACTGGGATTGAACCTTCATTCTTACATGCTAAGCAAGTACTCTTTAAGACTGATTTACATCCCAAATCCCACACAATGTATCGCTAGTTCATGAAGGTTGTAGCATAGGCTTATAAGGGAAGCATAAGGGGAAATATATAACATAAGAGGGGAATGAATGTATAACATTTTAGATATTTTATTGGCATGCACAGAATAATGGGCTTCCTAACGATATTTGCATACATATGTATAATATATTTTCATCATATTAACCCCCATTACTCTTTTCTTCACTCCCATTTCCAGTGATCCATTTCTTTTAATCATCTGGCCACCCCCACCTTTAAGTTATTTTTTATTTTCTGATGATCCGGTGAGTTTATAAAGTCATTTACAGGAACATGGTCAACTTAGCTGTGGTTTCACCATGGATAAAAAGCCTCTCATGGCCCCAGCAACTATTAACTGGCTATAGAACCTCAGACAGGTATGGGAGCATGTGAGTTCCTCCCCCAAGCAACCATTAATTGACTAAATCCTCAGGGAATGGCAAGGCCTTAACAGGAACACCCCTCTACAATGAAATGTCAGAGGCCCAATCTTGTGCAGATAACCACAGCTTCTGAGAGTTCCAGAGTGCAATAGTCCTGTCTTGCCCAGAAGACAACATTTCACAATACCCCTTCTTCCAGGTCTTACATTCTTCTTGTCCCCTTTTATCCAGTATTTCCTGAGCTTTGGATGGGATGACATAGATGGCCCATTTAGGAATGAACATTCAACAGTGACATTTTCAGCACTGTAACCAGTTACGGGTCTCTGCAGTAACTGTTGCCCAGTGCAAAAGGAAGCTGATGCTGTCTGCAAGGCTCCAGGGACTTGACTGGAGTGGTGAGGACAAACATGAGTACAGAAATGCTGCTATCAGGTGGGTTGTGCTTTTCTGATGGAGTAGCTACAGCACCACCAGAAGCTTGGTGTGTTTATTACAGTTGACTAGGAAGGCAGGATTATCAAATAAGGAGGTGGAGTTACCACAAACAGATTTAAACAAGGAGTCGGGATTATTGTACATAACTAAACAAGGTTTAGCTAATCTTGGGAAGAGCAGTCTCTGTGTAAGGGAGGTAAACGTCTATGGGAGAAAGTTACAGTGGACATTTTCTGCCCACACTCAACATTCACACTCAGACCAGCGGAAAACTTTATCATCATCCCTCTGAGCCTCACCCAGGGAAGGCTTTGTCACTCTCACGGGATCGAGGCATTGGGGTCCTCAGGCATGGCCATGCCCATGTCACCAATACACATTTACTCAGGACTTCACTCACTCTCTACACCTCTCTGACCATAGCCAACACAATACTAATATATCGGTGGGCACTTTGGAAGGTTAGAAGGAGCAGTAGTAGTAGTACAAGGTCAGTCTTGGCTACCTAGCAAAATTAAGACCAGTCTGGGCTACATGAGAACTTGTCTCAAAAAAAATACAGCCAGGCAGTGATGGCACACACCTTTAATTCCAGCACTCAGGAGGCAAAGGTAGGTAGATCTCTGTGAGTTTGAGGTCAGCCTAATCTACAAAGCAAGTTCCAACAACCACAGTGGTGATAGCCTGTGTTGAAGAAAGATATTCGAATCTCCCTGACCGACAACTCATTGAGAGGTACCTGTCACTGGCACAGGAATTTTATTTTAATAACATCATGCCTTCTGGAAGTTGCTTAGGATTTAACAAGCTTCCTTATGACCTTTTCAAATTACTTAGTTTTGATTGACCCTCGTGCTACAGCATCCTTTCTTCCATCCCGCTATGCTCCTTCCCCAATTAAACCTTCTACTGTCACCATTTCCCTTTCCATTTTCACATCACTCATGGTCTACTACCTCCCCTACTTTAAAACCCCACTTGCATATTTCATGGGCCTTTTTCTAGTTCGTTCGCCATTATTCATACTCATTCCCACATACACACATAAAAACTAGAAGCTAGGATCCACATATGAGAGAGAGCACGTGATGTTTGCATTTCTGGGCCTGGGTTGCCTCACTTAATATTTTCTAGTCCCATTTGTTTTCCTGATTATTTCATATTTCTTTACTACAGTGTAAAATTCCATATCAGAGGGATAGAGAGTTGGCTTGGTGGTTAAGAGGACCATTATTCTTCCGAAGGACCTGAGTTCAATTTCTATTACCCACATCATGTGGTTCAGAAACACCTGAAATTCTAGCTCCAGGTATGATCTGAAAACTCGGGCCTCTGTAGGTATCTTCACTAGGGTGACTATACCCACACACATATGCATATAACATAATTAAAAAGAGTAATTTAAATTCCATTTTGCATATGTACCAGGTTTAACTGTCCATTCATAAGTTCGTGGACATCTAGCCTGATTGTATTTCCTTACTCTTATAAACAGAGTAGCATCATTCCTTTATTACAACAGCTGTGAAGAAAGAAGGTTTAGAAGGAGCATACTTCAATGGTTATATGTAAGAAATCCACAACCAGCATCAAGCTGAGTAGAAAAAGCTGAAAGCTTTTCCTCTGGGATCAAGAACAATATAAAATAGCCATGTGACCCCTGAAATGACCTTTGATGTTAGCTGCCCCTCCCCATATTGCCTACTTTACTGCTCTTTCCTTCCCTTCTCCATTTAACTCTCCCATCACCACCACCCCCGTCTTTCCCTCACTATTCTATTCTTCATTCCCTGAGAGATTCACCCCCTCCCCTAGTTCCTTTTTACCTAACCTCTGTGGTTATATAGATTGTAGCATGCCTATCAAATGCATACCATATATGCCTTTTGGGGTCATGGTTACCTCACTCAAGATAAGTGTTTTTAGCTTCATCCATTACCTGTGAATTTCAAGATTTCTGTTATTTTTAACAGCCCAATAATTGTGTAAATGTACCACATTTTCACTATCTATTCCTCTGTTGATAGACTTGTAGGCTGTTCCCAATATCTGGCTATTGTGAATAAAGCAGAAATAAGCATGGATGGGCAAGAGCAGAAATAAGCATGGATGGGCAAGTGTGATGGTTTGAATCACAATGGCCCCACAGGGTCATAGATTTAGATGTTTGGTCATCAGGGAGTGGCACTACTTGATTAAGAAGTTTCACCTTGATTGAGAAGGTGTGTCACTGGGGATAGGCTTTGGGGTTTCAAAAATCTAAGCCAGTCCCAGTGTCACTTCTCTTCCTGTTGCCTATATGAATGTAGAGTTCTCAGCTCCCTCTCCAGCACTATATCTGCCTGGATGTACCATGCTTCCTGCCATGATGACAATGGACTAAACCTCTGAACTGTAAGCCAATCCCAATGAAATGCTTTCTTTTATAAGAGTTTCTGTGGTCATGGTGTCTCTTCACAACAATAGATCACTGACTAAGACAGCAAGTGTCTTTGTAGTAGAATGCCAAGTCCTTTAGATATATGCTCAAGAGTTGTGCAGCTGGATCTTGAGGTAGATCTTACTTTTCTCAACTTCCTGATGAACCACCACATTGCTTTCCATACTGGCTGCACAAGTTTACAGTTATACAGCAATGGGTGAGTGTTCCCCTTAGCCCATATCTTTGCTAGCATGAATTGTTATTCTTTTTATTGATTTTGGCCATTTTTATTGTTGTAAGATAAAATCTCAAAGTAGTTTTGACATGCATTTCCCTGATGACTAAGGATGTTAAACAAATGTTTTTAACTTTTTAAAAGTGTTTCTCAACCATTTCTGTTTCATCTTTTGAGAACGCTGTTTAGTTCTATACCCATTTGTTCATTTTGTT